ACTCCATTCAAGCTTCTGGGAACCCTTCCCTGAGTTTCAGTGGGTTAGGTCCAGGCTGTTGAAAAGGACCTCTATCACTGGAGATTCATTAAAAAGTAAAAATCAAATGAAGGAGACGATCAACAGTCTCTTTATAATTATATACCTAATATCTCTAGCTTAAGCTGAATGCCTTCTTTGCTTCAGTCTTTACTGCTCAGGCCAGCCCTCAGGAGTCGGCACTTTGGAGGAAACAGAGAAAGCCTGGACAGAAGAAGACTTCCCCTTAATTGAGGAAGTCCAAGTTAGGGAACAGTTAAGTACACTGGATATCCACAAGTCCATGGGTCCTGATGGGATGCACCCGCAAGTGCTGAGGGAGCTGGCAGAAGTCATTGCTGGGCCACTCTCCATCATCCTTGAAAGGTCCTGGAGAAAAGGTGAGGTGCCCAACGACTGGAGGAAAGCCAATGTCATCCCAGTCTTCAAAAAGAGCAAGAAGGAGGACCAGGGAAACTACGGACCAGTCAGTCTCACTGCCATCCCTGGAAAGATGATGGAACGGCTCATTCTGGGCATCATCTCAAAGCATATGAAGGAAAAGAAAGCTATCAGAAGTAGTCAACACGGATTCACCGAGGGGAAATCATGTCTGACTAACCTGATAGCCTTCTATTATGGCATGACTGCATGGATACATGAGGGGAGGGTGGTGGGTGTTGTCTACCTTGATTTCAGCAAGGCTTTTGACACCGTCTCCCACAGCATCCTCATAGCTAAGCTTAGGAAGTGTGGGTTGGATGAATGGACAGTGAGGTGGATTGAGAACTGGCTGAAAGACAGAGCTCAGAGGGTAGTGATTAGGGGCACAGAATCCAGTTGGAGGTCCATAACAAGTGGTGCTTCCCAGGGATCAGTACTGGGTCCAGTCCTCTTCAGTATATTCATCAATGACCTGGATGAAGGGATGGAATGTACCCTCAGCAAGTTTGCTGATGACACAACACTGGGAGGGATGGCTGACACACCAGAAGGCTGTGCCACCATACAGGGAGACCTGGACAGGCTGGAGAGTTGAACCAGGAGGATAGACCTGATGAAATTCAACAAGGGCAAGTGTAGGGTGCTGCGCCTGGGGAGGAAAAAAACCCCTGCACCAGGACAGGTTGGGGGCTGACCTGCTGGAGAGCAGCTTAGAGGAGAAAGACCTGGGAGTCCTGGTGGACAACAGGATGCCCACGAGCCAGCAATGTGCCCTGGTGGCCAAGAAGGCCAATGGCATCCTGGGGGGCATCAGGAAGAGTGTGACCAGCAGGTGGAAGGAGGTCATCCTGCCCCTCTGCTCTGCCCTGGGGAGGCCCCACCTGGAGTATGTGTCCAGTTCTGGTCTCCCCAGTTCCAGAAGGACAGGAAACTGCTGGAGAGGGGACAGCAGAGGCTACAAAGACAGCGAGGGGACTGGATCATCTCTCTTATGAGGAGAGGCTGAGGGACTTGGGTGTTTTTTAGTCTGGAGGAGAAAAGGCTGAGGGGGGATCTGATCAATGCTTCTAAATACTTAAAAGATGGGTGTCAGGAGGATGGGGCCAGTCTTTTTCCAGTGGTGCCCAGTGACAAGACAAGAGGTAATGGGCACAAACTTGACCATAAGAAGTTCCACCTAATCATGAGGAGGAACTTGTTGACTTTGAGGGTGGCAGAGCCCTGGCAGAGGCTGCCCAGGGAGGTGGTGGAGTCTCCTTCTCTGGAGACATTCAAACCCCACTTGGACACGTTCCTGTGGGACCTGCTCTGGGTGGACCTGCTCTGGCAGGGGGTTGGACTAGATGATCTCCAGAGGTCCCTTCCAACCCCATAGCATTCTGTGAATTAAAAGTGTATATTGTGTGGGTAGGGCAGTGTAGGCACCTCATTCAGTTTTCCAGTGGGAACTCAACCCGAGCATGTTACCTAGCAAAATACCTAGCATTTGATGCAAAAATTGAGGGTGACATCTCCTTAATTTAATACAGTTTGTACCATGACAATCATGGTCGGGATTTGCTAGTAAGTCTGGATGCTGCAAGTGATTTGGTGCCTAGCAGGCTGATAGGGCACAAGTTGAAATGTAGGCAGCTCTTCCCAGTGTGACTCAGTCATTTTGGAAGCACAGAGCTCTGTCCCTGTCAATCCAGCCGTCTCCTACCTCATTTAGGCAAATTAATGGCGGAGGCAAGTGAATGTGGAGAGTTCCCTCTTTTTCCAAAATATGCGATATTTATAATTTTTGATGTGTATATAACAATAGTTTTGTCTTTTGTAGTTACTCCTTTTATGTATTTATTACAAAGCAACACCCCTCTCTCAGCCTCAGCAGCGATTAGGGGCTTGAAAAGAAAGGAGAAGAGAGAAGTTTTTTCCTTTCTGCTTACAGTGCGGTGAGAGGTGGCAGCTCTTCCCTCTCCTGCGGCGGGGGAGACAGCCACGATCAAACTTTTGCAGGAAGCTGCAGTGAAAGAGGAATTGAAGATGTTGATATGTACTCGGTAGGCAAGAAGAGGTACAAAAAATACCTGGAAAACATCTCCTCCACTGAAAGACTTAAGGAAACTGTGTCTCCTGGGCTCCTTCCAGCGGAGTCTGAAGGTGTATGAGATGACACAGCTCTGTGGGAACGGACTGAAAACTAACTGCAGTGTTGTCATTGAGACCCGCTGTCCAGGCAGTGTCACCATCTCCCTGTACTGAGCCCTTGCCAGAGAAACACAAGGAATCCCTGCAGGGAACCAGCAGCTCTCACAGCCCCAACGGGAACGTTTGAACAGGAATGTGCTTCAAACCTCCTCACTGAGCTCGTGGATGCGTAAGGGCTGGGAGAGGCAGCAGCCTTCCTGCTGATGAGCTGATGGGATGCCTTCCATCCTTACCACCTCTCTGCTGAGGGATGCTGGGGCAGGAGAAGGGGAGGTAGCCCCTTCCCACCCACTCTCAGGGAGGAGCGCAGCCCCTCTCTGGCTGTGGCCGAGAGCGAGTGGGAGGGAGCTGGGGACAGGCTGGAGAAATCCACGCCTCGACAGGTGGAGCTCAAAATAGATGGTAAAATAAGCTTAGGGCAACTGTACTCGTTAAATCCTGGGTGCCAGGAGGAAGCCAATGAAAATGTAGAGTAACCTGTGGATGTAGACTGGCAGTAAATCCTCCACCACAATAGGACCATGGGAATGCCATGGCACCACTTGGGTATAAACGCAGGGACACGCAAATTAACATGCCAAAATGGGATGCTCTAAAATCAAATGAGATATTGGTCAAAATAAAGAAAATTAGATTTAGTTCAAGATGTGCAGCGCAGGAGAAAAATTCTATATATATATTGAAAAAAGATTCATGTGTGAAGTAGCATTTTGGGAGGAGAAGCCTCCAGGAGGGAAAGCCTCTGAATGCTCAGTCTTGATGAACCAGGTCTGTTACAGCTGAGTCTGTAGCAATGCAGATGTGGGGCATTTGTTTTCTTTTTCTTTCCACAGTCAGAATATTATTGTGTTGGTTTGGATTTTTTTCTGAGCTCTACAATTCAAGTTATTAATTAAAAAGTATACTCAAGGGTGCTGTTTCACTGACGGTCCTCAATTTACAGATAACTTTTCTAATTTAAAAGCTAATCTGGAGGGTGAGCCCTGCCAGCATGTTAAATTCCAGTTAAGTGCTTAATTAATATTGTTGGGTGTAAAATAAAAATTCAGCCCCATGGTGCAGGTAAGAAGCCTCCCTAGACGATGCAAACATCAAGGTTGAAGCAGTGAGAACACGGATGTAGAAATGCAGCTATAGCTATTCCTAGTTTGAATGGTTCCTTCACAAAGAGTTGGCATATGATTTAATGTATTGTTCCTTGTTCTCAGCCCTTACTTTTACCATCGTGTTCATTTAATGGTATGCTGTTATCTCACTTGTTGCTGCAGTTGGGTGCTTCCCATTGCTTTCATAAATGGCATGCCAGGATTTTATCAGCTAAACCTTCACCATCAAGACAGGCAGTTTCTGTTTCTGCTTGAGCTGACAAAATTCCCTTTGGATTAATTCTGAGATGATTTCAGGATTTGGATGCACAGTACAAGAAAGAAGTGGATGTGGAAGTACAGTGTTCCTGGCATTTCTCTGGATAGTCTTCTTTGCCAAGAATGGAGAGCTGAAATTTTTATGGACTGACACAGTTCCATGTTGTATCACTTCTGGTTGAGGTCAGTCCTCCTGAGAGCACTCTACAGTGTGAAGAGTGTGTTTCATTCACCTCATCTAGCAGCTTTGCTTCCCTTCTCCCTCTGGAGATGGTTGACCCATCGCTCTCTCCCAGCGCGTTAGCCCACACTTCCTTTGACTTTGCTGGAGAGCTGTCTGCGCATCACCAGCCAGCGCCGGGGTCATTAATTGAAAAGCCCCATCGCTTTCTTGCTTCATAAGGCAGAAGATTTGGCTTGGTAATGCTAATGGCTTGCATATCATTTGTGGAATTTGCTTAATGACAGCACATTGACTTTCTGCTCAAATCAGGTAACTGGTACCCATATTGATCACAGAGTTATAAAACTCTCATGAAAATATTTTCATTAAATGTTATAAATATCTCTGCTTATAAGATGTAAATGCCCCATTGTTTTCACTTGGTGCTCTAATGCACAAATCAGTTCTTTCAATTTGATCATACACTAAAGGCTTAAGTTATTGATAAGTCACTTTTTGTTTGATATTGAACACTATGCCACTTTTAAATTTAAGACAGGAAAATGTTCACTTCTCCATAATCCTGGGCATACTTACAGGAGAAAAGAAGACTCACACCAACCCAACATTTTTACAAGCCACCTTGAACAAGAGCTTTAAATAATTATACCACTTGGCTTTACACAGCAAATATAAAGTACCTCAATGACTGAAAACCTCCTTCCCTCCATGGATTTTTTTCACCACAAAATTCTGTAGCTATTACTTCTCCATGAAACTTGTCCCTGGAATATTCCTATGCTAACGTGCTTTCTGGCATCATGGTCAACATTAGAAATGGCAGTTTCTCAACAGCAACATATACATATGGCACCAGTGCACTTGCTCTGAGTGTGATGCCCGAGGGTGATGCTTATGAACAATCTTTTTCCTGGCAAGGATGCTCCCCTGCAGAAACAGGCTACACATCTGTAAGAGCCACGTGGATATAATGAAAGAGCTTACCACAGAATTCCCTCCTCGCTGAGCCGCATCCTGGTGTGAACCCTGCGCAGAAAATGATTCAACTTTCATCAAGAGCTTCCCGCACTCCAAGCTGATTCAACCCACAACAGCATTTTTCCACACCAGCTTTCAAACAGCCCCAACATCCAGCCTGGAGATCACTGTTGTCATCAGAAGCAAATTCCCCGTGAACTATCATGTGCCCACACAAGAAGTGCTGGACCTGGCCACCTATCTCCAGCTGCTTCCCAGAAGGAGCAGTTCCTGTTGTCTGAGTTCCTGGCCCCTCTGCTGTTGCAGATCTTGGATCTGCTCTGCTTCTCCCCGTGTGCCTCCACGGGATGAGGGCAGTACACGGAATTAAAGAGCCGCAGCCAAGGCTAACAGCAAACGAAACTTTCAATTACCTCTGAGAGAGCATTTCTTCTCAAAGATCCTGTCTTGATCCTCAAGAGTGATCTAAACACAATTTCTCATGGATCCTGAGTGCTAAAATTTATCGCTTTTTACTGAATGACAGAAGGATGGGCCCTATGGGCAAAGGGCACTTAACTCCCCTCCCTGTCTCCTGCGGGATCTCATCCTTGCCTTACCCACTGGAGGAGACTGTCTTCTTGCCTTTGCAATTGCTCATCTTTTACTGCACGTTTGAATTATTATTTTTGCTCTCGGTCTAATGATTAAAATATTGCAGCAACTATTTTCAGCTTTTACTTAGACACAAAGTAACAAAGACACAAAGGTTGCTGCTTCTTTTTCAGACCTGAAGGACTTACACTGGAAGACACAGGTCTGATTTCTTTTTCCAAAGTGTTTTTATTCCTGTTCCCCTGATAAAAGATGCCTCCTCTCCCCTCAGCTCCCCACATCCCAGGAAAATCTCACATTTATTTCAGCGTGATGCAGATCAGGCCTTTCTTCTGTCACCCTGGACGTGAAGCCCTCCTCTTCCCGTGCCACATTCAAGTAGGGCTGATGGCCCCAAACAGGTGATGGAGGGAGGACTCATTCCTCCAATGCTTCTTTCTGGCCCTTGGTTTTGTGACTTCCCTTTCAGCTCCCTGAGGGTCCAGAGAAGGGCAAGGGAGCTGGTGAGGGGTCTGGAGAAGAAGTCTTGTGAGGAGAGGCTGAGGGAGCTGGGGGTGTTGAGCCTGGAGAAGAGGAGGCTGAGGGGAGACCTTCTTGCTCTCTCCAACTCCCTGAGGGGAGGGTGTAGCCAGGGGGGGTCGGTCTCTTCTCCCAAGTCCCAGGCCATGGGACAAGATGAAATGGCCTCAAGTTGCCTCAGGGGAGGTTCAGGTTGGAGATCAGGAACGATTTTTACACTGAAAGGGTTATCAATCCTTGGACACCTCGACGTGGGTCGCCCCGTGGTTTTCCAGGGCCCCAACGGCTCCTTCTTCGGGTACTCGGTGCTGCAGCACTACCACGACAGCACGCGGTGGTGAGTAGCGGGGGGGGGGCGGGCGGTCCCCGGCGGGAGCGGTGCCCCGGGGACTGGGCTGCCCAGGGCAGCGGTGGAGGCCCCGTCCCTGAAGGTGTTTAAAAGACGAGTTGACTTGGTGCTCGGCAATATGGTTTAGTGTTTCTTTGGGGTTTCTTTGTGTGTGTGTGTGTGGGTTTTTTTTGTCAGAGTTAGGTTGATGGTTGGATGGGATGATCTTTAAGGTCCCTTCCAACCTCGGTGGTTCTGTGAGGGTGGTGGCTCCAGCGGCGCGGGTGGGGGCAGAGCCGGGGGGACCGGCGGGAGCGGGGTGGGAAGGTGGAAAAAGGGAACGAAGACGCCGCTGGGGGGCTGCCCCGAGG